AGAGAAAATCTGATTTTTGTTCGCATTCCCAAGAAATACTCATTTTAAATTAAAATTATTGAATTTTATTAATTAAACTATGTTTCAAACCATCTGGTGCGTGCTATAATTTTATTGAAAACCAAATTCTTCAATGCCTATAAGGAAAAATGTTTTACTCGTAGATGCAATTTTATGCCTCACTGCGCATGCGCGTTTTGAATATTTTTCTTTTTTTTTTTAGGAAAATCTACCACCCATTGTGAATTAAGATTATGATTAAGGTCTGCAAGTATTTAATAAATAAATGTAAAGATAAAATTTTCCCCTGCACCAGATGTATAAGGGGGTCTGGAAGGCTGTAAAGTGTGTAGAGATTAGTATTTTCATTTAATGTAAGTTTTATTAGTAGCGTGCATAAACTTAGATTATAACAAAAATGGACGAATTGTTCTTCTCCAAGGGATGTACTCATCTAGTGACCTAATAGAAATAGAACTTTACCTTATTTAAAACTGATAAGTACAAAAATCTTAATTATTCACTGCTAAAGAAAATCTTATTTATCAATTTTGAAGAGAGGCAGAATATTTTTAATTGGCGAAACAGACATATGTGTTATTTCCTACGCTAATATAACTCCAAACAGTAACCCTCTACCTTGAGTGGCTCTTGGGCCTTGTATTGGGTTAATATTGGTAAAAAACAAACTTCACCCGTCTGCTCCACCATTGTGCTACATCTTTTTAGGATTTTTCGTCATACACCAATGAAATCAATTGTTTTAGATGTAAATCATGTTCTGTGTGTGTGTTTTTTTTATTATTATTATTTATGACAGTATTTACAAGCGGATCAGTGTCAGGTCGGTTAATAGCGTTATCGTGACGTCCAAACTTGACTGATGCAACAGCTGACTTCCTATTGACCCGACCTCCGTTAGAAACCACGGAATTCGTTACTTAGTCATGAGCGTTTGCCGTTTACAATCTCACATACAACGTGTTTCATCTTCAATTAAGGGTGCATCTTGTTTGGTTGGCGTGTGCGTTTAGGGTTCGATTCTTCAATCTATAAAAAAAATTTCAGACAGTATATCTGTAAAAGGACAATAGAAACAAAGACAAAAGAAAAGTTTATCTTAGCCGACGCGTTTCGTCCTCTGGGGGGAATTTATCAAGGCAAATGCGTATGTATCCATCGTGCATCATATATGCAACAGGCAAGACCTCATAATTCATCGAAAGTAAATTAAGAGTAAAAAGCCTTGAACTACCAAATCATGATTTATTAACCTTCGATTGAATGTATTAATATTGTGTTGTGCCAAACTTCAAAATTAGTAGCGCCTTTCTATTTTGTAAATCAGTATTCAAATTTCTAGTATTTACATTGTGTCAAACTCCGAGTAGCGACATTTGAGAGAATCACTCAATCATCTCAGCCAATAGACAAGCGCACGTTAATATCATCACCTAGAAATAAAATATAGCTCAATATAAGAAGAATAATGATTTTGATGTTACCAGCGACGAAATGTTTACAGCGGGAAGCTTTACAGCATTCAGACTTAAACAAAAAAAATAACTCTATTAACAGATAATGTTACTAACGGTAATAGAACAAACTGGAGAATAACACACTGAGCCTTCTTGGCCTCACGTTTTCCACTGACTTGAAGTGGAGCGACTACATCGTATCAATAGCTGCATCTACTGCAAGGAAAGTTGGGTCAATGTGTCGTGCCTGACAATTTTTGTCGTCAGAGTCTATCTTGCACATTTACAAATCTACAATTCGCCCGTGCATTGAATACTACTGCTACAAGATGAGGCAGAGAGGACGTCATTTTTCTGAATAATAGCCATTTCTAAAACATCCGCCCTGTCTGCCTCACCCTGTACATCTGGTTTGGTGCTCCTGTTATTCATCTCGAGATTCTTGACAAAATCCAAAGAAGGATCTGTAACGTAATCCATGCTAACTAGGCATCTCGACTTCAGTCACTTTCTCACCGACGTGACGTGGCTTCCCTCTGTCATTTCTACAAATATTTTCATGGCTACTGCTCTGACGAGCTTTTTTCCCTGGTGCACCGACTATATGAATTTAAGCGTGCTACCAAATTGATATCTAGTTCCAACCTGTTTAATGTTGAATTAGCTAAGAGCAGCCGCCACTTCTACTCCAACAGTTTATTTTCTCGCACTTCCCGCCTGTGTAACTCTCTTCCGTTTACTTGCTTCCCTGATAAATGAAATCTTCAAAAACGTAAATGCAAAGTCAATCGCCATCTTCCCTATTCTTGAGCTTCGTTCATCTTTTGTCCTTTCCTCAATCCTCTCTATAATCTCACTTTCACTTTCACTTTCACTTCCTGTACTCCCCGCCCCGCGTACTAGTGGCATTCACGCCTTGCTTGGGTGGAAATGATTAAATGAAAATACATATAATGTTTATATGCTGATATAAAGCTTTTAAACTTCAAAACTCTTCTTTCCTTATTAACGTTGTTCTTTAAAACATATAGTACTATACTCCTTGCTTTTATTGAATTGGAATATTAACAAATAACATCTTCAATATGATTTCCATCATTTGTGATGCAAAGGTTGATGCGATTTGAAAAATTTACGTAAACTCGATGCAATAATTCTACATTACCGTCAATTTTAGCACATTTATTCTTTATGCGTCCAATCAAGTGTGTTGCATCTGTTATTTTCAATGAGTACACCTTCTCCTTTAGCAGATTCCAGAAAAATACGTCAATTCTTTCTTTCAATAGACTCGTGTTTAATCTGTGAAGCTAAAAAATATAGTTAATGAGATTTCCTATGTGTCCAAGACTTAAGAAATACCCTGTAGAATATCTTTGTATAGAGATTGAAAAAAAAATTGCTTCTTTTGGCTGTACATGGATTCCCAGAAGTACTTTTTTTGGGACCCTGGTTGGGATCTACTGCTATATACTTATTTCCTAAAACTCACTACTAAATTCGAAACTTTTGTAGACAAAAAATAATTTATTAAAGAGAAGATGAGAGGAAGACACTACATTTTTAAGAAAACTGGAAAACTAAAAATGAAAATTAAATGCACTATTGATTTGGTTTTTGCAACTTAAATGATGAAGACATTCTCTCAAAATTATAGCTATTTTGATGTTCCTGTGAAAAGTTCATAGTTTATTGTAATTTGAATGTAAAATGACCATTTCTTTTTTTAAGGAAAAAATACAAAATTTGATTAATTAGCATTAAATTATCGTTCTCACTGATGTTATTGATTTTTATACAGATATTAATGCATTGGAAATATCTATCTGAATTATATATATATATATATATATATATATATATATATATATAAGCAAAAATGCATATTTTTAAGAAATTAAATTTTCAACATTTTATTGAATTGTAATATTAACAAATAACATCTTCAATATGATTTCCATCATTTGTGATGCAAATGTTGATGCGATTTGAAAGATTCACAATAACTCCACATTTCCATGAATTTTTGCACATTCACTCTTTATGCGTTCTATCAAGTGTGTTGCATGTGTTATTTTCATTGAGTACACCTTCTCCTTTAAAATATCCCAAAAAAAGAAGTCAATTCTTCTCTTCCTTCAACAAAACCATGTTTAATGTGTAGAGGTAAAAAAATATAGTTAATGGGATTTCCTATGTGTTCAAATTTTAGGGACACACCCTGTAGACTATTAGATAGATATTAACAGTCAGGGCAAAAGATGATATCACTCCTGTCATTTCGATAATTATTACTAAAATTCACTTACAGGAAGCCATTACAAAAAATACTGGGGAAATATTCAGTTCATTCTATAAAAAGATAAAACATGGCGGAAGTACCGGTCTCCTTCCGCCATGTTTTATCTTTTTGTAAAGATATTTATTACCCACTCTGAAGCTTCTTTCCAAGAGATGCAACGGTGCCATCTTATCAGTACTCATAGTTTCACCAAATCAGACTTTTAGAGCTAGGATATCAAGTCAACGGAAGCGAATCACCTTGATTTCCTTCTTATTTAAAAAATATCTATGGACAGCTCTACTCAGACTGCTTTTGCCCTAGAATGACTACTTTGTCATACTGACTCCCGTGTGGAGGCTTTCCTCGGTACTACAATTTTAATCTCTTCGTATCAAAGACCAATCATCATCTCTCCTCCTTATCCTCATAATTTTCCACTTCTTACTACTTCTTTTTTCACTCATATCACACATCCCATTCCACATTACCGTTTTAACAGTAACCCTATGCCTTGAGTGGCTCTCGAGTCTTTGATTTGGTGTACTTTACTATAAAAGATTTTTGAGTGCATAAAGATGATGCTCCTGTGAAGAAAGGTTGTAGCCTCAACTAACGATGCAACATCAGTTAATGTGTTAACCCAAATGTAAATTATGATAACTCCTCATGCTAGACATTTAGACAAAAATTAGCAATTATAATAAACAATATTTTCAGTAACAGTAAATTCTTGGAACGCAGTAATCTAGACTTTTACACTTTTTTTACTTTGCATCTTACTAAGCCAAGGGGAGCTTCTTTTTTTAATCATTTCACCCCAAGCGAAGTAATAAGGCCACTAACACGCAAAGAGTTACTGAGTGTTAGAGAATATGAGAGAAAAAAACACTATTAAGGAGAGAGAGAACAATAAAAGTACAAGTATTAAGATAACGATTGACATTGCATTTAAATTATTGAAGATCAAAATTGAAGCAAGAAACGGGAAAAGAGTTCTACAAGCATAGAGCTAACATTAATATCTGTGGTAGGTTAGTTTCCCATCAAAAATACAACTTACGTTTAAGTTGTGTGTGTGTGTGTGTGTGTGTGTGTGTGTGTGTGTGTGTGTGTGTGTGTGTGTGTGTGTGTGAGAGAGAGAGAGAGAGAGAAAGAGGGAGTGTGTGTGTGTGTGTGTGTGTGGTTCTTTGTTTCTTGGGAGCGTTTTTATGGCCTTGTGTGTGAACGATTGTATATACTGATAAGAAACCAGTTTACTGGGAAAGAAGAAAGAACCAAGCGACGACGGGACACAAAGTTATTGATGCCATTGTTTTCGCCTCTCAGCTGGACTCGGTCGCGTATGGCTGGGCTGCCGTTAAAGTTCTGCATGCGTCCGCTGCCCGCAGCAGGGGACCTGTCGAAAAGGGATGGTCGGGTGAATGCCGCTACCTGTATCTATTTACTGAACCCCCTTCCTCACCACCACCACCCCATCAAATGGAAAGAACGGTGTACACAAAACCTACAAGAAGAGAAAGAGCAATCAGTCCAACAAAAAAAAGTCAGGAATCTCTCTCTCTCTCTCTCTCTCTCTCTCTGTATGTATGTATATATGTATGTATGTATGTATGTGTGTGTGTGCTATTTCGCTTTAGATCGTAAGCGACCATGGCTCTCTACAACTTCCTGTATTTTATCGCTCTAGGTAATTTTCACACTTTTACGGTCCTGCTTTGATTTTGTAACACTTGTTCTGCCATCTATTTACTCAAATTTATGGGCATCCCGAGGTGGTGTAATGGTTAGAAAGCTTGTCTCGCTAGAACAATTACGAATGAGTAGTAAGTTCGATCCTCACTGGGTGCCCCATACTTTCGGCCTTGTGCTACATCTAAGCTATGCTTGGAAAATAGCTACTCAAATCTATCAAGTAGTTTACTCACTGTTTCCCCTTTTTTCCATTTCCTTCAACGCGCCCAGTGAGTTTTCAATTCTCCGAGCCTTCTTTCTCAGTATTTATCCCAAGAAATGTTAGCTGTTTCTCTTTGATTTATTTGTATGTCCTATTCTCCTTAAAACTTTCTTTTTTTTTTCTCACATTCTCTGTTCATAGATTTCTCAACATTTTTTGGTAAGACCACATCTGTTGCCACAAGTTTGTTTTTTGATCCTGAAGATAAACATTCAGTGTCACTAAGGAGATTAAACATTACATAATAGTCTCGCACTATTTTTCCTTTCTAAGGACATTTTTCAGTCCCCTAATACCTTGCAATTCACTTTTCGATTTCAATATCGCACTTTCTGTTGTCTATTACTATACAACCCAGAAAATTAATTTTAAGCATTTGTTTATTTTTTTTCTACGTCCCCAGTAATGTAACTCACAACATAGGTTGTTCCATTTACTGACTTACATTCTGGTTTTTTTGTTGTTGTTGTTGTTTTTTATTTACTCATGATGATTGGTCCTTTTTCTCTTGCTTTATATGCTATCTTATCAAATAGTTCTTTCTATTTGCATTCTGAAACTGCTAGAAACAGGGTGTTGTCTGCATAGTATATATTGTTATGGTTAAATCGGCCGATGATGAATTCTTGCATGTCTTCGAATCATCTCGCTGTAAAAGATTAAATAAATCCGGTGAGAAAACACATCGCTGTTGTATTCCCCTTTCTATGTTTATGCGTGCACTTAATTCCTTGTCTATCCACATGCAAGCTGTGTTTGTTTCCATTAGGGATTATGGATTCTTCGCTTATCTTTTTCGTGTAGATCAAGTTTTCTCAACCGTTTGATCCCGACCACCGCTTTACCGGTGGTAGAGAAAAATGACGTAATGCCCAGCTACCGGTTGAACGGTGGGTAAACACTTGTAACTATTTTTATATCTACCATGAAACATTACATACCAATTATTTGCGACTTTTGACTCAGGAGCTCAGGAAGAAATGTTAAAATAGTTCAGGAATACAGGGTTCAAAGGGTTAATGTTTCAAGTTCTTTATGTCATACTTTATCGAATATCTTTCGATAATCTATGAAACAGAGGTGTAGACGTTTCTGTATACCTATTGCTTACTCTGATAGCATTTAGATCACAAAGCATTTTTGTTGCAATGTTTTGAACAAAACCACATTGTTCTTGTCGTATTTTTGGCTTAATTTCTTCTGCCACAAGCTCCATTCATTAAAATCCTAATTATTAGTTCTGTTGTTTATCAAGATAATTGTTTTATGGAATTTTCATTCATTTGTACCTGTTTTTTTTTTTTGTTTTTTGTTTTTTTAGCAGTGCCGTAAAAATTGATCTACTGATCATATATTTTGATGTCATATTTCATTTTTCAATTTAGTAAACTTATCAATCTCCTCTGACCCAGCTGCTTTATCTTGACCAGTATTGACCTAATCTAACATTTTAATATTATCGCCCCCTTTTCCATGATTTTACTGATTGTAGGTGTGGTTCTTCTCTGTTATCATGAAAGTGCTCACCTAGGCATATATCCCGCTAGTGCTATTTCTTTTCACATCACGATAGGTTCCACTTTAGATTTTATACATCCTGCTAATGAGCACAATTTCTGTTCTGTTTCTTTTATCATTTTCGACATAAAAAATAAATATAAGTTCTACAGTTTTTAAATTATTGCTCTTTTGCTTCCTTTCTCTTTATTTTTACTTTATTTCTGCTTGACGTTAGATTCTGTGTCTTTTCTTGACATTATTATCCCCCTTCTCCAATTAAGCGA